TCGATACAAGCAGTTTGATTCTCGCTAAGAATAGCATCAAAATACACATAAACCATCGTTTGCTATGGCTGAAGGCATACGAATTGGATCGTCTGTAAACTCTCCATTGCAAGAACTATGCGGACACCAGCTCGTCAACCTTACTCTTAAAGGTGAGGGAAAGGAACTTATATCACTTATTAGAACTTTCAATCGTGACTTTCCCAATCAGAAATCTGCACAGTGCGTCTGCTTTAGACCATTCAATTGAATTTGTTGATAACCATAGCCACTACGAATTATAATGGAATTATTTTTCATTTCCGATGAAAAGTACGCCGCATGAGGATATAGGCCCACCATTAGCGCTCGAGGTCCGCGTCTTGTTCTCCCCTAGCTCACCTTGGACCTCGATATCACGACATTTCCTTACAAAAATTAATTCCTGTCGTCAATTTCACTCGTATTAGCTATTGGACGGTTCACACTAGAGGAAAACTCGTCTTCTGTGATATTTCGTTGTGACAGTCTCTTTGATCTGTTCATTCGGTGAGCTATCAAGTCAAAAGTACCAGTACAATCTAAATTTAACATCATTCTCAATGCTGCAGCTAACCTCTTTCATTTCTAAACGCTCTCAAAGAGCATACCCATGCCCATCTCGGAGAACTCTACTGCGGACTATGGGATAGAAGTTTGGGCCGATGGGATAGCCAGTCTAGGAGGATATCCCCAGATAGACTGAGCATATAATGGCTCCGAGATCTTCTAAGTATGATCTTACCAACGCGGAGATACCTTCCTGGGGCTACAACTCGAAATATCGTTCTGTGGCGGCATGTATAAGGTAGGTTCGAATCCTGTGCACCTAACTCACTTGCGACCTTTGTTGTCATAGGGACACTAAGAGGGTAGGTCACTTTGACCTTCATTCATATCCGAACATTCCTCTGATTTTATCCTTAGAAAGGGAATACCATTTTCGATTGGTCACTACTGGAGTTTCTAGGTGAAGGAATCAGCGATTTTAGCCATACATACAACATTGTGATACGTATGGACCGCCGAGCCATGACACCTCGGCATCATAGGAAACTTAGTCAAGGCTTAGCTACATTTTACAATGAACCGTCTGTTCACGAAGGAATCTGGGCTTATTACCGA